GAACTTATACCAAATGCTATAACATTCTTTAAGAACAGTAACTTTAACTCCTTTAATTGTGCTATTTGGTTGTTGTTGTTGTTGCGGTAACACCGGCCTGTAACACTGTATATAATTTAGAGGAATAGGCTGACAGCTCTTCAGATGGAAACTGTCACACAACACTTATTACCAAAGTTCTCATATCCTCCACCACAGTCCATTAGGCTCCCTCCCAACTTTGCTTCCCATCAACCCCCATCCCCACCATAACCTCAACTCCACAGTCAGATGTCTAGGGTTTGTTTTGGCTTAGTTTTTGCTGTCCTTTTGGTTTGTTTCTCTATACTCCACATGAATAAGATCGTCCGGTATTTGTCTTTCTCCATCATTACCTATGCCACTTAGCATAGTTCTCTCCAGTTCTATCTATGTTGTTATAATACAGCTTTCTCAAGGACTAAAACTGTAACTAGCAATAATCCTCATAATAACTGTGTCAGGTACTATGAAAACTCCTTATATGCATTATCTCATTTCAACTTCTGAACAATCCCTTGAGATTATTATGAGGTACTATCATGACTATTTTACATATGAAGCAATTAAGGCTTAGAGAGCTTAAAGACTAATGAGGAAATAGTAAATGAATTTAACATTTATTTTCTAAGTATATGTGTACAGCACACGTTTCTAGGCTTTGAGGACACATATATATCAACCTCTACCTTTTCAAGCCCATAGGCAAGTAAGAAAATCATAGAGACCATAACCAAAATCACAGCATTATAATTTTATACTAACTGCCTTTCTCATCCTTATTTGATCCTCCAACATTAGTCTCAAATGGTACACAGGTAAGTGCTGGGAAAAATAAAAACCCACAAAGCTCACTGACTTGCTCAAGATAACAAGACTCTTAAGTGACAAGGCCAGATTAGAATACTGTTTTCAATATTACACTGTCTGCCAAAAATGAATCAAAACAACTTTGTTTTTAAAAGTTATTGTGAACTCATATCTAAACTTGTCAACCAGTTTTCCTTCAACTTCTATAAAACAGAATTCTAAATGCATTTAAATTCTACAGCTGAGACATTATGGTGGGTTACACTTCATGTTCAGGAACGCGAGTAGATATATCATATTCCCTTTTACCTTTATCCTTTTTCTTCAATGTCTCTTCTGTAGAAGATAATCTGGATTTTTTAGGTGATGATGCTTCATCATCTGTTTTGACTTTACCCTTTCTTTTTTTTGACTTGACTTCTTTTCTCCTTTATGTTGAACAATATAAAAATTAAAGTTAACTTTTAAAGTTACAAAAAATAAAAATCAGTGAGAAAGAAAAAAATATCAGTTATTTTAAAAATATAATTTAAAAATAAGAAACCCTTAAATTAATCTCTAAATGTTTTAAGTTAGTATGTCAAGTGAGACAATTCTAAAAAATAATAGAGGCTGAACACTGACACAAAAAACAATTTTTGTAAATTCCATTTACAAAACTTAATAAATGTAAATCATAGTTTTATTCATTTCCTTTTCATTCTATAAGCTATTTAAAAGAAAATTACACGAATAAAGGCCATTTCTTTTCACATAAATATCCACCCATGCTCTGCAAAAGTATAGACAGTATAAAAATAAACCACTAACAGCCCTCCCTGGTGGCGCAGCAGGTTAAAGCACAGTACTGAGAATCTAAAGCCGCTTCCGCATGAGTTCGATTCCCGCCTGCCCCATAGGTGACCACATGGCGTGGCAGACCTCTCCTGACCCGCCCGCTGCTCCCCTCAGCAGTGTACTTCGTCGATCTGCCTGTTCTGTACCCCACTCTGTCTCTGGTGAAGCCTCTCACTACCCCTGAGCCTCTGACCTGTACCCCAGTTCTGTATGCACAAATAAATAAATCTTAAAAAAAATAAATAAATAAACCACTAACAGTTCTAAATCATCAGTAAATAGAAAGTTCTTTATTAAGAAGGTAGGAATGCAGTGAAGGTACAATGGGAGGAAGATGGTGGTGCTTACTTAAATCATGTATCTACTTTACATTATATGTTGTTTTATTGCTAAGCTTTATCTCTGCCAGACCAAGTTTACAACAAGGTGGTCAGTGCCACAGTTAGTGAGCAACTGATCTTAATGGCTGAGAAAGGAAATAGTGACTAGGAAAAGGTGATAATGCTGAAATGGATACTGGGAAGATGGACAAAGAGACAGGAGAGAGGATTATTTTCAAGAATTTCCAAATTAAGGAACTTATACCAAATGCTATAACATTCTTTAAGACAGTAACTGTTTTATTCTTCTCTCAGAAAAATCACTTCAATTTTAAAATGAAGTTTGAAAGTCAAGATCAAAAAATATATCTGGTATCTTACCAGTATCATTGATGGAAAGGGAAATAAAGGTATAGTTTATTTAAGTAATCTAAAAAATTTTGCTAATTTTAAGGATTAGATAATTATTAATTATTTTATATTTATTTTTAGTAGTTAACATACTAGATAGGGCTCATTTTAAAATCTTAAAAAGCTGATCTTAAAATATGATTTTGTTTCAACATCTTATATGTCAGGTACTCCACTGCTATATGTCAGATACTGTGTGAGGCACTTTACATGTACTTTGATTTACTCCCACAATAATCTTAGTACCCTTATTTTAAGAGATGATAAAATTGAGTTTTACAGAGATCAAGTATCTGGACAAGAGGAGTTCTACTAGTGGTGGTAATATCCTGAGAAGAATACCCAGAAGTCTGATTTCAAAGTCTATCATCTTATATATACTACATACTGCAAAACACTGGTATTGCATCCCCACTCAATATGGCAAACACATTCTAGTTCAATCAATGTGAAATGAACAACAAGGTTTATAATCCTTTGTAAGAATCCAAATACCAATGAAAACACTGCATTAAAATGAGACATAAGAATGATTTATGAAGATTTGCTTTAAAACATCATTTCTAAGAAAATTATGATGTCTAAATATTGACTCCAAATTAAAAATTGTAGTGTTATATAACACCCTCCACAGGTCTTCATATTTAAGACTGTTTGGCTAAAGATTTCTAGTTTTTTGGTTTATGTGGTCACAGTAATGCCTGATACTCTACATAATCAACTAATTAAACCAACACCTTATCGAGTATATATTTAAACACAAAGTAGGTAAGTGACTATGTCCGAAGCTACCAAACAGCAACAACGGCGTTTAAAAAAATGTATTACCTGTGATGAAAATTTAATTTAAAGGAACAATCTTGGCATAATCCTACAAAAAATAACAGTAAATAATTTAAGAAAACAATCTAATTCTCTCTGCTTCAAGAATGCATATACTTAACACAAACTAATATTAAAGTATGTGGGGAATTAAAAATATTCTATCATTACTTTAGAAAAATGTGCTTTAATTTACTCAAACTGTGTTTCATGAACAGTATTAACATTTTTGTCACCTCAGCAATAACTAATAACAATAAGAGAAAGCTACTTAAGACTTTGCCAATGCAAAGTTTTCAAATAGTATCACTATTGTAGCCTCTTCTTTTGCCTTAAAACCTCAGTTCATACTAGCTGACTGCTGGTGAACATCGTGAACACTTTCAGGTAGAACTCAGACACCAGTCTCTATTATAGGGGCAATTCTTTACTTCTCTCTGGAGTAGGCAGAAAACTGAGGACACATTTATTTAGGACCCAGAGAGGCCATTAACATTTGAAGGAGAAAATAAACTGAGACATGAAAATAAGCTTAGAAAAGAAAAAAGAAAATAATTAATGATATTATAAAATACAGATGTTAGAAAAAATTGATAGATTCTGGCATAACCCTAAGCTTTTAAGATTGATAGCAAGAACAACTTCGATGTCCTCCTAAATTCTCTCTTTAATGATCAAAGAGAGTGCATTTATTTAACACCCACACAATAACATTAAGGCTATCAGCTACTGTGAGATTTTACACTGTCATTTCTGATACTCTGCATCTTAACCATGTAATTTGGTGAATGGGAAGAGGTCTTTAGTTTATACAATTACTGGTTTGCATTCACATTAGAATTAATTCACCTAATGTAACTATAATGTGGGAATAAAAATTTTCATCTCCAGAGCTCTTTTCTCTGAGGAAAAAACTCTTCCAGGGTTTTGAACTGAATTTTAAATTAACTCTTATATATATTTAAAACTAAATTATTAGATAAACCTGGGTGAACTCAATGAAATCCCAAATAAAGTCAACTTACTTAACTTGACAAGTGCATTTCTCTTTTCACCATGCTCAATATAACCAAAATTAACTTCCCAACTCTTTAAGCCATCTTTTTTATCACAACATTTATTTCCACAGAAAAACTGGCCTGTAAAAAATTAAGGAATATTAGCTATCGGATTTAGTGATAATATTTATCTGTGTAATTTAGTGTAAACTCTGAAATTTACTCAATATACATTCTTAGTTCTATTTTAAAAAAGCATTAAAGAACATCAGTCACAGAATTCTTGCTCAACAGATAGACTATATTTAGATGCAGTTTTAATGGGCAATGAACACTTTAGAAAGTGAGAGTTCTAAAACAATATATTCACAGATAGTCTAGAAGAATAAATGCATTCTTCCATTTATACCTGTAGGTACTTTGCAATAGTTAACAACAGTTAAATTGATAGAAATGAATATTTTTAAGTCTTAACATAAAGACACATATTTTTGTACCAACATAAACAGGCATTTAAAAGAACATTTAATAAGCTCACACTCTAAGATGAAGCAGAATGAACAAGCCCAATGCTCTAAATTTTAGTACTGCTTGTCACTTAAATCAGTAACACAATACTACATCCATTACATATTAAAACCTCCTGCAAAAAAAAAAAAAGAAACCCTAAAACGACAACTAAACTAACACTGATGATACAAAGGTGAAAAAAACTTTTCAACAATTGAGTGCAGAGAAAAAGTTAAGATCAAACTTTTATTTGTACAAAATAAATATACATTTCACTCATTTATATGAACAAGAAGAAAAAACTAATTATTTTATTAAAAAGAAACTATCAAAATGAATTTTGAAAATCATCAGTCCAAAAAGCCTGTAACTTTTCTAAACTGACATCTTTTTTTTTTTACTTATTCCAAATGAATGCTTTATTAAATCTATACATGTTTAGTAATGGTTCTATTGTTAAAACAGTAACAAAAATTATAACTTTATAAATCACAACAGAAGCTTTCTCTCCCATCCCAACTAATCCTCTGTTCAGTTATATGAATTCAGAAATGTCCATCAGTTTTTCCTTAAAGGCAATACTACATATCATCACCCAAAAATTCTACTCAGTAAAAGTACTAATTTGTAAAATTGTAATTAGGTAAAATCACAACCTAAAATGTAATCTTGTGAAAAACTAAAATACCTTTTCCCTTCTCCTTCAGAGTAACTTCAGGGCTGATTCTTTATTATTGAAAGAAGAACATTCCCACTGTTTAATTTTGTTTTATTGCAGATTTCATTTCACACCTGACAGACATACCCAATTTATGGAAGATGTATATATGTAAGCAATACTGATGGCATAAATGTTTAATCATTTATAAGTGTAATTTTTATTTTTAAAGTAATTTTAAATTATTATAACTTTAAAACTGTTTCCTAAATGTTTCAGAAGCACTAGCACTTAAAAATTCAATTATTCAATAAAAAGCTAATTTTATCGTATGAGGCACTATAAAAATACAAAATTTCCAGAAAAGTTTCATGAATAAATTATGACGAAATATGGAAAAATTATTTACTAAAAGTGCCTACAAAATGTCTGGTCTCTTTTTGTATGACTAAATGTTTGTGCTCAATCTCAGTGGCTCTTCAAAGTAAAAACTCGCCTGTCTAAAAATTCTATTAGGTTCAAAGGGAAATTTAATTTCTACTTTTAAAATATGGATTTAACTGGAATATATTACCAACTCATTATTTCAAAAATTGACTGAATCAAACAGTCATACATTTATAATTTTCTTGCCATGAAATCTTTAACCCTTAAAACATTTTCTACTTATCCTCAATTGCATGTTTAAGGCAAAAATCCTAAAGGTAAAATTTCTTAAGTACTGTCTCTGCTGGTAATGTATCATGAATATATCTTTTTTCCAATTTTACTTTTGTAGATAGTCTTTATTGTTTGTATTACGAATAATCTTACTTAATGACTTCAATAACAAATAAAATGACTTACATTTTATTAAAAAGTAAAATTCAGAAAAAACAATTACCTTTTCCAGATATTACTTCTTTTTCTATCCGCCACCGAAATCCAAACTGATAAACCAAAAAATTACATTTATACAAAAGCAAATTTAAATGTTACATTTGAATTTTATATAAATCTAGACACAAATCAATAACTGACAATCTCTTCCAAGCTAAATAGTAAGCCTAATTGCCATCCAATCATTTTTTTCTCACTATAGGATTCTAGGAACTTAAAAATACAATCTAATTACCAACTCTCTCTATAAAGGGAAGCTTTTTTTTTCTTTTAATTTCCATACCACCTTAAAAGTTATAGGTATCAGGTCACAAAACATTTTAAAAATCCTGTTCTATGACATTAATAGGAAAAAAAAAGGTTCTGGTATAATAGCAAGGCAGTACATAAAATGCTAGAGTGCAGCTTTTCAAGCCACGGTGTTTGAGCTTAAACTTTACCTCTATCACTTAAGAATAGTATTGTGGCTGAGTTATTGAATCTCTCTGTGCCTCAGTTTTCTCACATGTAAAGTAGATAAATAAAACTACACACTTTTTTGGGTTAAGAGATTTAAATACGATAATCCAGACATATAAAGCACTTAGAATAGTACCTGACACACAGTATACCAGAAGTTAGCAAACTATGGTTGATAGGCCTACTGCCTATTTTTATACATAAAGTTTGATCAGAAAACAACCATACCTACCCATTAGATAATTAGTACGTCTCCCACTGCAACAGCAGACTTTAGTTGGTTGTCATAGAAACCAAAGCCTAAAGTAGTTACTATATGGCCATTACAAAAGAAGTTTGTCAAGTCCTGTATAGTAAATGCTCAAAAAGTGCTATTTACTAGTTGGTATTACTACAGTCTGCTCTCATTCATCAAAGGATATAATCAGCTACCTCCCGAATAATAGAAGAAAACACAGTATTCAAGAGTAAAAGAATATACCTCTGATGTTATCAACCTAAGCTGAGAAGTCTCTGACTGACCTGAAATCCAACATAATATTCAAGCTTCTGTTATTGGCAAAATTTGGCCCAGAAAAAGAACAGGAAAGAACAACTGCACCAGACTGCAACCCTATAGTGAAACTTCCCTCCAGAGTCCAAATATAATTATTTTTTGGCTAAAAATGATTTCTTCCAAAACCTTAAGATATTTCATATTAGTATGCTACCTCAAAATTTTAGTAATGATTTAGTTCTATTGTTTTCAACAGTAGTTAAAAGCTCAGATCTAGAATCATGCAGGCCCAACACATCATTTATTAACTAGCTCAGCAAATTTGGCAAAGTTATTTAACCTTTCTATTTCCTTTTGATGTATAAAAACAGAAAGGGTAGTAACAACCCGAACTTCATAGGTTGCTGCAGTTAAGAGAGATAATTCAATGTCTATTACTTGAGTTAAACAATGTTATATTTTAAATGCAAAAGAAGACTCCAAATATTTCAAAATATTCTGCTTAAAACAAATGAAAATAAAATACCCCAAATCTAGGGGGGAAAAGTATAAAATTTTCAAAATAACCCTAGTTCTAGCCCACATAGAAATGTGAGGCTCACTAGCCATCCACTATGTTACTATTCTACTGAAACAACCGAATGTGTACAGTAGTATATTCTAAACTTTTTTTCATACATTAATGAAAAATATCCAACAGATAATTATTAAACAACTACTTACTGAACTTAGCATTCTGCTAAGGAAAAAGAGTGAGTATTAAAATAGTACATGCTATTATGAAGTTTATAATCTATGGGGCAATAAGAAATAGAACCACTGTAATGTGACTACTAGTTAAATGTTACATAAAGGTTTGGCTTCATTGTTTTCATATCCTTTCATGGACATGAATTTTTTTTTGATGATAGGTTAAACACTGCAGTTTTTCAGGGCTTGGTGCTCAGCCTTCTTCTGTTCTCATTCTACCCTCATGCACAGAGAGCTTGCTATAATTAGCATCTTTAAAAAAATAGTGTGGAGCATGTCAGTATAATAAAAGTTAATATTGTACTTTAATAAGAATCCTCTAAAATGTCTGGAAGGTATACCTTATTTTCTTTGTATCTACTGAGATCTGCTATGCAGTATTCCTTGAATAATTTATCATAGTATTTCTTTGCAAGTCTCTTCTCCCTAGAAGCATTAAAAAATATAAATCTTAGACATTTAAAAATTCAGCCATGGTTAGTTATATGGAAACAGAGTCAAATAATACATACAAATGTTAATGTTTTAAATTTAAAAGAAGCCTCTTACCTGTGCATAGAATACCTGAATATTAACTACTAAGTGCTTCTTTCATGGAGAAAAGCTAAAGGACTGACAGTGATGAGAAGGTGACTTACCCTTTACTTTTTACCTTTTATAATAATGCTTCAATCTTTTAAACCATCTTTAGGTACTATTTTTTAAATGTAAAAAATAGCATGTAGTAGCATATTATGGGACAATGCATAATATGAAACTGTTATTTTTAAGACAGTCAAGCAATGAGAAGTCAGCTAAAATTAAAAATTATCAAAAGAAGCAAAACAGATTCAATAATACAAGGCATGATTTTATATGCTCATTTCAAAACTGAACTTCTTGGATAGGTGACAAAGAAAGCACCCCGTAGGATAAATAGATGTATTATGCTTCTAGTGGTAAACATTACCAATTCATGTCCATTTCATCCTCCTCATTCCATAGGAATCTATGATTTTCTCTTATAACATCCATATCAGTTTTATCATTTTCCCTGGAAAATAAAATTACTTCAACTTACTATAAAGCAAAATTAATCAAATATTGGCAGTTAAACAGTTTAGATTTCTAACCAACTGAGTAAAAATGGATAGAAAATGTGATGTGAGTATACAAGAAAACATGTATTTATGAAAATTCTAGTTATCTTCAAAACATAAAGAGTGCCACTACAGAAACACATTAAATAAATAAAGAACCCATCCATTTCTATCACTGGTTTCAATTTACAAACAGTGCGAAGTAACTGAAGCTAGGATGGGAAACCTGAATAAATACTAAAGGGATTAGGAAAAGTAAATCAAGGTAAGTTTCACAATTGGGTCAAGTCAGTAACATTCCATTAACATCCAATTTTTAAAATATATGAAGAATGAAGCTTTCCATATCTTACTTTAATGTAGCTGCAAAGATACTCAGTATCCCTGAGTAAAAGACAGAATTTAAGGGATGATTTTTCAAGATGCTACTAGTTCAGGAGTAGAATAAAAGATTTTTGGGAAATCCAAGATAAACTGACTGGGAGTATAAATCTGGGGAGATGAGTTCATAGTAGTATTTTAGGTCTCTACTAACTCAGAAAATCTTTAAATCCACACAAGGAAAAAAGCAATCCACACAGAACTCAGAGACTCCAATAGAAAAGCCTTACAAACTGGAAGAAATTTTTGTGGGGGAAATATTAAAGGATCTTGTATGCTCTGCCTTTTAAAAAACTATTATAAACACTGAGATCTAAAAAGTTCATTATTTCAAAGATCCTTGCCAAGAAATAATTACTACACAAGCAGACACCTAAGCACTTCTTATCTACACTGATATTGCCAGGAGCAGATCTGGCTCAGCAGGTAAGGTTACACCTGGGGTCTGTAGCCAAAGAAGTGGGATTTAGAACAAACTTCTCAGCTATGGATGGCCTCTATACCTTATGATGTAACAAGGAAACTGGAACTTGTAGGTAAACATCAGGATACTTACCCTAATCTTCTGAAATCTTCTTTTTTTCCACCATAGTATAAAATATAGTCATTTACAAATTTTGTATGCCTTTGATACTGGAATGCAAAAAATTAAGGATTTTATATACTCAGGAATTGGTCTAGATCCACAATACACCATGAAGTAAAGAAAAAGCATAGTAAGAGTCTATTTATACTTTTAAAATATGCAAATACATAATTATATATTCATAAAAGTCCTAAGATGATAAGAGTTAACATGATCATGAAGGCTTTCACTTTCTACTGTATACTGTTTTGAACATTTTTCAAACATCGATTACTCTTGTGATAAAACACATCCCCATCTGGGGAGAAAGAGAGCTACCTCTTCAATTGCTGAACTGCGTACAGTCTCATACCACCACTCATTTTCATCATCATAGTGTGAAGTATAAATTGTAGTTTCTAAAATTAAAAGGAGCAAAATTGAGCTTTCATTAATATAAACCATAAAATAGCCATTCCAAAAATAATAAAGCTTCTAGAATAGAAGATATAACTTTCATAGTATTAAATCCTTGCATTAGGCTTTCAAGGAAAAGTAAACATAAGAAACCAGGCGTTATTTTTTTACATTTGTTTTTAATACTCAAAGATTATTATTTTCAATGCAGTGTAACATGGTATGAGAAATTCAGTTTTTGTTTTAAAAAGCTTAAGTCTCTAAGAGCTGAACATGTATGTAACAGAAGTGATCTCATCTATAATACTGTCTGTGACTACATCTTACTTTATTAAAGATAACTAGTGACTTAACTGATCACAATGTGTTCTCCTATAAAAGGTCTGAGGACTGTCCATGAAGAGAAAGTATATCATGATTGTCTAGGAGATTGGGAAAAGGGAACTACAGAAGGAAATGATTACAGAAAGGATGAAGGAAATTTGATGTGGCAGATTAGTTCATTATTTTGATGTGGTGATAATTCCATACATGTATTATTATATAGAAGCTTGTCAAGTAAACACTTTAAAAGTGCACAGTGTGTCAAAGTATTCTTCAAAAATTCATAAAATATTTTCTTCATTTACTTTTAAAAATAAACAAATTTTATTTACAAAGACTCTAACTAGTCAATAATCAGGTAGGAAAAAGAATAAGAGTTCAAAGTACTAAAAATAAGAGTCATGCAAAAAATGAAAAACATTGAGAGCTTTGCAAGAAAAACAAGTAGGAAAATTATTTTCAAGTTCATGTACTCTTTTCACAGAACATTAGTAATGCCTTTTTTGTTTTTTTAAGATTTATTTAATTATTCATACAGAACTGGGTACAGGCCGAAATGCAGAGGGTAAGAGAATTCACCTGCGACAGAAGGGGAGCAGAACAGGCAGATAGACGAAGTACACTGCTGAGGGGAGCAGTGGGCGGGTCAGGAGAGGTCTGCCACACCATGTGGCTCTCCTCCCGGGCAGGCGGGGATCTAACTCATGCGGAAGTGGCTTTAGCTTTAGTGCGGTGTTTTAACCTGCTGCGCCACCAGGGAGGGCCAGTAATGTCTTATTTTTGTCGGTAAGATTTTCTTATAGATTAGTAAAAGAGGAAGTAAATGAGAAATGACAAAATTTCTCATTAATAAACACTTATCTTTAAAAATAAAGATAAGTACATAGTGGTGATGCAGCTGGTTAAAGCACAGCACTAAGAGGCTAAAGCCACGTCAGCATGAGTTTGATCCCTGTCCAGGAGGTGATCCACATGGGGCAGCAGACCTCTCCTGACCCACCCGCTGCTCCCCTCAGCAAAGAACTTTGTCAGTCGGCCTATTCTGTTCCCCACTCTGTCTCTAGTGGATCCTCTCACCACCCCTGCACCTCTGGCCTGTACCCCAGTTCTGTATGCATAAATATAAAAATCTTTTAAAAATAAAATAAAATGTAAAAGCTCTATTTGGCTTGACAAGATTTTATGAAATAAAAGGTAGATTTTAAACTAGTCTACTAATCATAAAAAAACTAGAATACAAAAAGGATACAGCATCCATAGCTATGAGATGAAATCTTCTATTTTTTGCTTCTTCCCTGTTAAAACAAATTTTATTTTAAACAAATGCAAATATCTATATTCTAATTAATACAGTCAAATTCCCAAGTCCCTGTGTTTTCAAAAGCATCTTAAATTGCAATAAAGTTAATATATACTAACATAACTTACCTATCCAGCAATTCTGCTGCAACTTGCTTATGGGCCACTTTTTCATGTTTTTCCTTCTGAAATGGCTTTTTGAGCAGTAAGTCATCTTCAACTGCCCTGGTTTATTCAAAAGAAAATTTACATATTATGAGTTCATTTTTTCTCAAAGTCTGCTTCCTATTTCTTTGTATTTTCATTATTAGAACATTGTAAAGAATTCAATATTAAAAGAATCACGGCTTGGTATTGGGACATTTTATATCTCCTTAAATAGTTCAGTAACTTTATTTAATTCCTATAAAATGGAAAGAGGAAACTAACCAAAGCATGAATTCTCCTGTCAAACCACCTAAGTTCCTGGATTCAAATCCTGGATCTACCATTCACTATCTTAATCTTAAATAAAATTTGTGCTACAATTTCTTTGTAAGTCACTTGTAAAGATAATGAAGCTTTCATAATTGCTACAATGGAAAAAAGGACTGATTGTAGATGATATACATCATCAGGCCTACGTATTTAAATACATATAATCCTAGAGCAGAGAGGACTAACTACATTTGCTCAGATTCTAGTATTAAATAGTATTATTTTTGAATGAAAACTCTAAAAAATAAAGGAACATAAAATGTAATTTATTACAACTAATACTATTGTTTTGGCTATCCATAAAGACTGTCTAGAAAAGTGATCAGGTACAATTAGAATACTCAATACATTGTTTCCGTGTGATATAGTAAACCAATATTTATAAGTTTAATACAAATCCATTGACCACATCTGAATTAACAAATAAATCCAATTTCTAAGCACTGGAAGCTGAGAAGGATGTTTCTAGTCACAGCAACTCCACTAAGATGCAGTCTTCTTATCAGACTTTATTTGCAGTTTTTGTCCCTTCCAATGCATTATAAACTTCCAGGAGCTCTTTCCCTTGACCATTTACAGTCTACTCATTTACAAAACTATAAAAATTGTGCTGTACTGTGATCAGAAAAGACAAACACATGCCTTTTGAAGCAACATGGATGGAGCTGGAAGGGACCATGCTTATTAGTGAAATAAGCCGGAAAGAAAAATACCAGATGGTTTCACTCACATAGCAGAAGCATAAAGGACCAGAGGAAAAAATAATAATAATAAACAACTATATACCAGAGACATTTTACTGGGGTGAAGTGGGGAATGAGATCAAAAATGGGGGGAGGGGAGGAGGGTTGTACACAGGATTATGGTGATGGCACGTGGGTGAATTGGTGATGGAAAGACCACAGGGATTACAAATGGGATGGAAAAAGGCACAAAATGATGTAAAAATAAACTACTATAATAAATTTTTAAAAATCGTGCTGTATTATAGGCTCACTCCCTACACCAAACTCACTCTGAAGTCAAATACTAGCAAAAAAGACCATCAGCAAGCCTTCTTAATTGTGATACTAGAAAGTAACATGTCCTTAGGAGCTGAATGAAACTGGATGCAACAAAAGAAAAACTTTATTTTTCTTTCCTACTGCTTCCTTTTCCACAAATTTCCTCACACACAAACATTTTTATACACTGTCATTACAGTTTAATGAACAAAAATTCAAACACATCTCAAAAATTTTCAGTATTATTTACTTACACTCATTTCAACATAGAAAAGACCTAAAACACAATAAAACAATTACTTACTTTTTTTTCCTTTTGCTAGATTCTCCACAGTGTTCATCATCACTAAAATCAGAGTCATAACCTCCATGGCCGTGCATCTGTAAAGGAACATAAACTAAGCTCCTTAGAAGCTAAGCTGCCAATAGTTCAATAAACAGAATACTTAAAAAGTTAAGTTATCTTAAAAAGTCACAACTGTAAAGGACTGAGGTGGCAGGCAGGTCACTATTTCTGAGTTACCCAGCTATCTAAAACATCAAAACAACATCCACCCACTTTAACAAGCCTGACCAGAAATGAAGCAGTATTTTCCCCTGACTAACTACCATCAGTCCAACAGGGGAAGCTACTCTTTGACACTTTCACTAAAATTCACCAGGTATACGATCTGCCTCCATATGATTACTGGGATAAGTTCCTGATTTCAGCATTACATTAGGGCACATACTAAAGGGGATGAATGAATTATCTGACTACTTGATGTCATAAATACCCAATTCATATGGCTAAAAGAAAGCAGTCCACGTCAACCAGTCAATATTTTTAAACTTTAATATTCACTATAGCAAGTGCAACAAGAAATAGAGAACTCCCTAAACTTTATTGCATGGGACTAAACATAAGACATGTCTGTAGTCCTGACGATTTTGAATATAAGTTATTTCATCGCTGGGATTCGTCTGATAAACAAGGTGGCCACATAAAATAATCCTTAAATCTTATGAGTCTGTGATCTTTCTATGACTCCACTTTCATATGTAGGTGTTTATCTCTTACCTGTCCCATAACTTTCTATAAAAGTAAAGACCCTAGCCAAGGCTGGAGTTGGAGGTTACCTTGCATTTGTCATCATCTTACAAACACACCTGGATCTCACACCCTTTATCTGGTCAACTCTTGCTTCAGCTGTATTATAACATTGCTTCAAGTCATACCAGACTCTCACTTCTTTTCCTATGTTCCTGCTTTCCTCACTTCTTGATGGGGCACATCACTGTTCAGGATTTGTAGGTATGTTCTGCAGCAGCCAACCAGAATTCAAATCCTGGCTCTGCACTTTTCCTTTGTCTTTCTTCGGGGATGTTCCTTAGACTCTCTAAGCCTCAGTTTCCCCAGCTGTAACATGAGGCTAAGGAGACATCTGGCCTCATAGGAGTTACAATATATAAAGGGCTTTAGAACGGTGTCTGCTACAGTAAATCCTTATGAACGGTACATTACCCTCATCATAACCTGTTCCTCACCCCAGGACAACACCTCCTAACCCTGCTCCCCCTCTCCCACTCTTTTCACCCGATTTATCCGATTTATCCGTCCCAAGTCCATCTCAAGTCAGTGGTGGAACTAAGGCGTTCTCACTCACTTCAGACTATGAATCAACTGACAAGGGCCGAGAGAAACTCGAGCAGAGACACGCCGGGTGTCTCCCGAGTCTGTCAGCCAAAGAAAATAAAAAAGAAAAGAAAGAAAACCAACTAATAGTATATGATGAACAAGTTTCGAAGTCCTTCTCCCCGACCCAAACACCGTCAAGGCCCTTCTCACACACCCCTTCCCTTTCTTCCTACTCTGCCAACCTCGCCCCCTGAATCGTCGCTCCCTCCTTTCTCCGGTGCTGCAGAGACGAGGCGCGGCCTGAGCGAGCCGCTGCAAAGCCGGCCCCGTCCGCCGGCAGCGCAGTCTTCCGAGCGCCGACACCGCCTTCCGCCCCCCGCCTCTCCGTACGGGTCCTGACGGGCGCCGCTTCCCGTCCAGTCCGGCCGCGTGTCACACCTAAATGGCACCGTCCCCGGGAGCGGCTAAGAGGTGCAACAGCTAGAGAATCCCCTGGAAACAAAGACGTCGGAAGAACAAGGCCTAGAAACAGAAGTTTCCTTCTTCCTCCAAGTCGCAGCCCCGTTTTTTTCTTGAGCCTCCGCCCGACCCCTCTAGGGAGCTCAGTATTTAATATCGATTGGCATACTAAAATATATTTTGTTTTAGAAAAAATCCTGCTGGAATATCACTGCCGTCCTCTTTCTAGTAACCTTAGTAACGCCTCCTTGGAGCATCCTTGCTGAGAGCCTGGGTGTCAGATCTGCCTCTCCTCCCACTCCTTCTCCAGTGAAACAGTTCTCATAATTAGAACAAAAATAACTTTCCATCGTTTCACCACCCACACAATAGATACCATTCCAAATGCAGATCTGGTGGCAGAGATGTTCTTCGAATTTCTGAAGTTAAGCAGAATAGGGCAGAGGGGAGATTTCACAGGGTCACAGATTCTCTGCAAATAAGAGGCTTGGCATGTGGAAAAAGGATCCAAAATACATCTTTATTAAACAACAACAGCAACAAATTTCAGGCAGTAAAGTTATAGTTAGGTCCACCAGGTGCTCCCTGTATTTTACCTTTTCTACATTATGACGGTCCCATTCTGCTTTCCAGTCTAGTTATCTGATTTCATGTCTTGTCTCCCTGAGGCTGATGCTCTATCCAACACTATGTCTCCAAAATCACAAGCACTAATTAAGTATTTGTGGAGTTGATTTGGAATGCCTGACTTCTACAGTGGACCTATTTTAGAGAAAATCTTGATACTTAACACATACATCATTTTATAACTTTTTGCATGAAACAGCAGGTAGCAGCCTGATCAGTTCAAGGCCCTACTTCTATCTTTGACAGTAAATGGTAAATACATACCTAATGCAGTGAATGAGATCTTTAAAAATCTGTGTTGCTCTGTTATTTTTGCACAAGAGATATCGAAGTGCAGAACTTCAAGAACTGGTGGGGTGTCTAGAAAAGAACAGTACTTACCCTTCTCCAAATTCAGCCCTTCATTCCCACCCTCTTTTTATTTTTCTTTCTTTTTAAACTAATTGACTTTGTGGAAAGCAGCTCCTGGTTCTCACATGTTTAGAATTTCAGATCTGCTGCTACCAGAGTGTTCAGCTAAAGATTTAGATTTAGTTTTTGACAGGGAAAAAACAGAACATATATGTTATGGTTAGGTCACCTGATCTGAACCAAACAATTAATACAGGCTAGAAAACCTATATGACCAGAAAATTTCATGTTAGTAATTACAGCTCATTAAAATTTTTTCTTAAGTTCAAGTATTTATTAAAAGTCTGCTCTGGGCAGAGCACTGTCCTAGTCCTCAAAGGTATGAATCTGTGTAAAAGCTATTCGTTAGTCTCAAAGGTTGGTTAGAAATAATATGTAGAATGATGTAGAATGATAGAAGTATATTCTGGCATGTGTAAAGAGCTTTGTAAGTGGCATGAACCTGTGATTCCCAATCTGTAATATGGGTTATTGAATAATGAGTATGAAAATTACAGTGCCCTCAAGTTCTGTGTAACTCAAATATAGCAACAAAGTGCTGTAACAGATATATGATAGGGATAAGAGAAGCTGGGTGATGTTGATAGTAAAAGCATCAAGTAATATTTCTAATTCAAGCAATAAGGCTGCATTCTGCTAATATTTTATAGCTGTTTGCAGACTGCATTTCCCCCTAAATGATCACATCAATATATCTCACTTATTAGAAGGTAAAAATGTATTTTAAAACTTTAAATTTCTTTGAACATCATCAAATCTAGAAGAAAGCAAGCAGTGTTGAAGAACTCTTCAAAATGAAGTTTTATAACTAGAAGACAGCAGGAACGAGGTAATTATACTGGGCCAAAAAAAGAAAAAAGAAAAAGAAAAAAAGGTTGGTTATCACAAAATCACTTTCCTTTAGGGGATGGTGGGAGGGATTTATGAGGCAGATTACCAAATTAGTGTTGTTGAGGCTTTGAACGCTTGGCAAGGTGTCTTGTACTTTCTGTTCATTTATAAGCCTGGCTCTGGCAGAAGGCAGCTCTTCACTTCCATAGTAAAGCTGGGTCCATGAATAGAGACGCAGTCTAACAGCTATCTTTTACAAGCTGGTCGAAGGTCAGTCACTTCCTCCTGTCAGCACCTGGAGGAGGCTGCTAAAGCAGGAAGACCGTAACCGGAGGGGCACTGGGAGGCAAAGCGGAAAGACTGCAATATACCAATTAGTCACATGAACTGATTGGCACTTTTAGACTTGCTCCCAGAAGGCAAGGACAGAGACAGTATGTCTCTGAAGCAGTGGTGGCTTGTGATTAACTGACAGGGAGACACCAGGTTAGATAAGATGAGAAGCAAAGATCAGCAACACTAAATACCACTGGGGAACGGAAGCACTTTTTTTTTGTTCTGTAATATCTGTGGGCACAAAAAGTTCATGACTTGGGAACGCGCAAAGTGAGGAGTCCTATTTCATTATTAAATAATGGTTGATTGGTGCTACATTTCTTGATCTTAAGGAGTAAGTAGGCTTTGGGCTATAATCATGGAAATGAAATAATTTCCATCTTTAAGGTTCAAGCTCTAAGTGGGACACAGTTGCAGAAATAGGCGTGACAAGAAGATGTGGGCAGTGGGAGGAAAAAGCCTGCAAAGCTCTGGAAGTCCTAGGGAGAGACCTCTGGCCCCCAAAGAAGGAAAAGCAGGAAACGTTTGAGAGGTAGGACTTTGTACTCAAAATGCTTAAAATACAGGTTTAATTTACCTGTGCTATGGTGGCACTGAGCTCACATCCAAGGAAAGGGCAGAGTGCCTTCCCAGGACTCCCTGCAGTCCCCAACGTACCCCAGCGGGTCTTCTCTGTAGAAGGTGCAAGCAAGCATGAAGTAGGTGTTGGCCATATCATGATTTCAGAATTTAAGACCCCAGTTGATCATGTAGCATGCGTGCTGGTACGGTCTAGGGAAAAATCCAGTGAACTAAGTCAGCTGCATGTTTAAGGGTACATGTCATTATTTATGTGTGGTCAAGCAACTAGATATAAATAGTAAGCAATTTTCTTAATGATACCTTAATCAACATGTTCTCTGAAAGTAAAACCTCTCTGACTACTTGTCCTGGTCCTGAAGGTGATAATTGGTGGTAGGAAATGGAAATAAACACACAGAGCTCACATAAGCAACTGAATAAGGTCAGGGAAACAGCAATGAGCAGGAGACAGTGAGCTCATGCCTCTCCTGACTTTACATAAAAGCCACAGCATCAGAAGTAATAGTTCAATTCATAAATAGAACTTTTTCAATGACACACTTAACTGACAGGAACTTTGTTAAATAGTGTAGGAGGGATATAATAGAAATGTAGGCCAGAATTGCTGGAGGCAATCCATTTTTCTCGAGATGTTAGAAATCTGGATTTTTAGATTTAAAATTCTGATTTTCAACACTGACATCCAGATAAAGTTTAAAAACAAAAACAAAATACCACACAGAACTTCTGTGAGTTGAGCTGAATCCATAGGAAACAAATTTCCAAGTGGATTCCCTCAAGAACTACCTTGGGTGGTGGTTTGAAAGCAAAGGTAGAGACTGCATGGAGAGCATCTCTCAGAGATAAACAGGTTCCTAGTAACTCAGGCACAGGGATGCCTTCAAGGGAGGAACCAAAAGCATACACTCCCTGGAATGAGGGTTGGTCACAGCCTGGGTCACTGCAAGAGCACTTCCTACATCCCTACTGACCAAGAAGACCAGGTGTCACCCAAGCTAGAGGGGAGGAAGTCACAGCCCAGCGCATGCTGACACTGTTGAATTTTTCCTGAGCCCTTTGCTCCTGTGAAACAACGACTTTTAGAGGATCCACCACCACTCTCCATTGTTACCTTCTGGAAAACTGCTTACTGCAAAAAACCCACTCGTTTATATATGAATTTACACAAAACTCAGATGTTCCCTGTTTAACCCATGACAAGGCTAGACACAGACTCTTCTACTTCCCATTCTTTACCTCATAAGTGATAAACTGAACTGCTCATCCTACTGGCATAAAATACTTGCGGGCCGACCTTTGGTTGTTCTCTCCTTCTTCTAAGCCCTGACCCTCCCCCTTGCTCAGCACATCGCCCTTCCCGAGGACAGACTATCCTCAACGTGAAGGATTCTCTGAACATACCACCCTTTCATCTCACTTCCCTTTTTAGCCTCGTTTCTATAAAAGAAAGTCTTTTTTTTTATTTTTTCTTTTTCTCTGACAGGTGAGACAATTTTAGGTTCCCGCCTTGCAATAATCTTTTGGAATAAAAGTCTGTCTTGCCTAAATCCAGATTTTTTTTTTTAATTTGACAATGTGCTTGTGCATCTTGTACATTCTGCATAATTTCTGACAATAAAGTGTGTTGTCGAAATGTTCTGCTTCTGACCAGCAGTAGTACTCTATTGCATGCTGCCCACCCAGACATACGTGTGACCTTTAAAGCCAGAAAAGCTAAA